GTGCCCAGAGCAGCTGTGGCTGTTCCATCCATTGAAGTGTCCAGGGGAGGTGTGGCAGCCAATACAGCCACAAGCTCCCTGTCCCTGGGTGAGTCATTGTCTCATACAAAAACCCACAGAAGTTGAAATTCCTCCTGGAAACCCTGCAGGAGCCACTGGGGACTGAAGCTGCAGTAGGTCCTGACCACAAAGAGCTTCATCCCCACCACTGTGTGGCTAAAACAAGTGAGTTTGGGAATCCCCCACTAAAACATGGCTCAAGACCTTTGACACCCTGTAGAGCAGAGGCTCAGAAACCAGCAGCACTTCAGCAGCAGTTTCAGGGTTGTTCTGGATGAAGAGACACAAACACAGCCAGACCATGTCCCAGGAGTGGCACCAGCTCCTCACTCATCAAAACCCTCCAGCACGTCAGAAGTGTCTCTAGAAAGCAGCATAAATCCCTTCCCCTCATCTCATCGCTTAGCACAGGGGAAAAGCTCAGCCAAGGCTCGTGAGCTGAGTCGCTCCCAGTTAATCCATGAGCACTGCTGCTGTCTCCTCCAGCCACGGCACTTTTCAGACTACGAGAGCTGCAAGGGACATGCTAAGCTGGGCAGTGATTCAAACCCCTGAATTTAATCACAGAAAAGGAGAAGGAAGAAGAAAAAAAACTCTGTTTTGGAAATCACAGAGTCTAGGAGGTGCTCAGCAGGTGCCAGGCAGCGCCTTGGGAAGCTGCCGTGTGTTTGAAGGCAGACACACACCCGGATGTCTCACAGCAATTAAAAGAGCCCTTGGGGAAGGAGTTAAGTGATTCCAGAGCTGGGCTCAAAGGCTTTCCCTCCTTCTCACCCTTCCTGCTACGGAGAAGCCAAGCTGCCAGGCTGGAGGGAGGCACTGGCCTTTAATCACTGTGGCCTTGAGCCTCACAGCCACAGACCAGCAGCAAAACACTTCCCTTCATGCTTCCCTTGCTCCCAGTGCTGTTCCATTGGTCTGAGCTGCCATCGGTGTTTCTGAACACCCTGCAGAGATCTCTTCAGGGCTCCTGTTTGCAGAGCAGCCTAAAGAATGCTGTCAGGAACAGCTTCCAGCCATCTGCTTCCTGTGGTGCAGCATGTGCAGCCCAGCTCCCCGTGGCACTCCAAGGCTGGAGGCAATGGGGGTTCTGGTTGAGGGGCACAGGACCCTCTTCTTCAGGGCACAGATGGGACCAGCAGCTGGGTTCCCACCTGGGAGAAGGGTGCACAAAACGGCAAGAGCGCATCCAGAAGGAAAATGCTTTCCACAATTAATGGAAATCCCTGAAGCCTGACCCTTGGGTGCATCCAGTGCCCCAGGTTCTCCGAGCTCTCCTGTGAACATCCTTTCCATCTAACACTGGAAATAAGGAATAGAGTTGTCTTCCTGTAAGAAAACCCTTTAAGAACTTGAATAATCAAAAGTGGGAAGGATCTAGATTTTCTAAAGATGAGGCCTGCCAATCACATGGATCACAGGCCCATTTGCTGCTCCCCCACCTGGAATTCCCACCATCCAAATGGATTTAGTGTCCATACTCTTCCCTCCTTCGAGTGTCAGCTCTAATAAACAGCATTTCAAAGGGCACCCTTAGGTCCCTTAAGGCCACCACCAGTTCCTGCTCAGACACAAGGGCACAAAATGGAAGGGTTTCAGGGTTTTTGGAGCAGCAGTTTTGCTACAAAGGTCCTTCCAAAGCCTCATTTGAGTTTTCTCTTGCTGAAGTCACACTGGTTCCAGAAGGTTCTGGGGTGAGCCACCAGCCTGGTCCACCTTTGGATTCAAACATGACACGTGTCATCACCTTCCCTCTCCATTCCTCTTGTGCCTCAGGTAAGGAGTGGCATTCCCACTTCTCCCTTCACTGGAATTTGCCCCAGACCAAGATCCCTGAGGACAAGATCCCAGGAATGCCTGAGGCCCATGTGGCATGATGACAGAGCCTTGTACTTGTGCTTCCAGCCAGTTCACACCGGGAGGAAACCAGGGCAGCAGACACTCACATGCAGCCAGAGCCTCCTGCACAACACTTGTCACTCAAGCACCTTCCCAGCTCCTGGGATCAAAGAGCCACATGGATCACAGCCCCAGGAACAGTCATCAGCAGGGACACCAGAAGGGGATAGGATCCTTCAGGGTAGAGCAGGACAACACAGAATCACAATCAGCTCAGACAAGGCTGGGTGAGAAGAGGCTATGGAGAGGGCAGGGTGTGTGACTGGAATGGGGAAAGACAGGGACAAACCATCAGAGCTGGTTGCAACTGCCAAGGACATGGGAAGCTGCAGATCTGTGTCCTCACTTAGAATCACCCAATCCCAGAATGGTTTGGTTTGGAAGGGACCTCAGAGCCCCTCCAGTGCCACCTCTGCCACAGCAGGGACACCTCCCACTGTCCCAGGCTGCTCCAAGTCCCAATGTCCAGCCTGGCCTTGGGCACTGCCAGGGATCCAGGGGCAGCCCCAGCTGCTCTGGGCACCCTGTGCCAGGGCCTGCCCACCCTGCCAGGGAACAATTCCTGCCCCAAATCCCATCCAGCCCTGCCCTCTGCCACTGGCAGCCATTCCCTGGCTCCTGGCCCTCCAGACCCATGTCCAAAGTCCCTCTCCAGCAGAGGAAGCAAAGCAGAACAGACACCTCAGTGAACACTCCCAAGGGCCCCATTTCCCCCTCTCCCACAAATTCACAGGAGGTTGCCCAGAAGCTGGCCACAAGGCCATCTGCAGACATTTATTAAGCACCTGACCACTGGCATCCAAGTGCAAGTTTCCACTCAGAAATAGCAGTGCCTGGCTGCAGTTTTCCTGGCAGAGGACATCCCACACCTGACAGTAACAGTGCTGGGGTTTGGCAGAGGACATTCAACACCCAGCCAGAGCAGGGTGCCTTGATCACTTTTCCCTTGCGATGTGGACACAAGTCCTGCTCAGCGGCCTCAAAATCAGCACTGCAGTTTGGATACCCAGACCTCCAGCCTACAAGGATCAGCCTTCACCTGCTCCAGGCTGGTAAGTCACACCTGGCATTTGTCTGGCCTCAGGGGAAGCCTCAGCACCTGCCAGGCAGGGCTGGGACACATCACCTGCAAAGCATAGATTTGGTTCCTCCCTTCCCAGATTCGCTTAGCCTGTCTCCACAGGGATATTTCCTATTCCCAAAGAATTCCCTGCTGCAGGAGTGCTACAGGCATAGAATCCTGGGATCAGTGAGGTTGGAAAAGGCCTCCCAGACCATCCAATCCAACCTGTGACAGATCCCCACCTTGTCCCCAGCCCAGAGCTCTGAGTGCCACATCCAGGCCTTCCCTGGACATCTCCACCTCCCTGGGCAGCCCCTGCCAAGGCCTGAGCTCCCTTTCCAGGGAGAAATTCCTGCTGCTGGCCAAGCTGAGCCTGCCCTGGCCCAGCCTGAGGCCATTTCCCCTTGTCCTGTCCCTGTTCCCTGGGAGCAGAGCCCGAGCCCTCCTGGCTGTCCCCTCCTGGCAGGGACTTGTGCAGAGCCACAAGGTGCCCCCAGAGCCTCCTTTTCTCCAGGCTGAGCCCCTTTCCCAGCTCCCTCAGCCTCTCCTGGGGCTCCAGCCCCATCCCAGCTCCGTTCCCTGCCCTGGACACGCTCCAGCCCCTCCAGGGCTCTCGTGTCAGGAGGGGCTCAGAGCTGCCCCCAGCACTGGAGGTGCCCCAGCAGTGCCAGCACAGGGGACGGGCACTGCCCTGGCCCTGCTGCCACCCCAGAGCTGGCCCAGCCCAGGGCCAGTGGCCTCTTGCCCACCTGGGCACACCTGGGCTCCTGTCCAGCTGCTGGCACAGCACCCCCAGACCCTTCCCAGGCTGCTGGGGCTGTGGATCCCCTCCCTGGGATGGCATTTCCAGGGCTCCTGGTGAGGATCCCGTGGCTGCTGGGGCTGGGCAGGGCTCAGCCCTGGGGCCACCGAGGGGAGATGGAACCAGGCAGGGCCCTGTGAGTGAAACCCCCCAGCTGGGGATACCAGACCCTGTTCTCTTCCAGGGGAACCCTTCCCACCCTAAACCCTCAGATCCCAGCCCAGGGATGGGTACCCAAGCCTGGAATTTTGGGTGACAGACTGTTGAGTGTCACAGAGCAGCCAGAGCCTGGATAATCCTCAGGCTCCAGCAGGAACCACCCAGCTCTGGCTCCTGTGACCAGCCCTGGAACCAAAACTGAATCAGCCCAGAAATGAAAAACTGGAAAAGCTTTCAAGGTTTTCACCCCTCCAAACGAGCAGTGGGTTCAGGCAGCAAAAACACTCCTTCAAAAATAGGTTTTCACCTATTATTTATCCACATAAAATCACTGTGGTTACAGATTTTTATGTATTTCACCACTATGTTAAAGATATAGATATAAATCAAATATCTCAATACTACAAGGATCAAAAATTTATCAAAGGTACCTCAGAATTTCAGGGAAAAGAAGCTGTAAGTATGTAAATAATAATATATTATATTATAAATATAAATATATAAATAATATATTATTATTAATAATAATATATAAATAATAATATATTATATTATAAATATAAATAATGTATTTATAGACACAATACTGTTATCAACAAGTATATTGATCATATTTATCATAACTATGGAGATATCTATTATTAAGCTCATTCTGGGTCGTAGGGCTCTTTGAAAATACACCAGGCAAGAGTGAATTAGACTGAAACTGCCCCTGGGGTTTCACCCCAGCAGTTATTGCAGGGTGAACTCCCTGAACCACCAACGCAGGCCAAACACAAAAAAAAGAATTTTTTCTTTTAACTAAGACTCAATATTCATAAAATTAACATGAAAGATGTGGGGAAGTTGAAAAAAAAAATAAAATAAAAGATGAAAAGGATGGCACTGGATGAGCTTTAATGTCTCTTCCCACCCAAAGCATTCCATGTTTACATCACTTAGACCTCTCTTTGTACTAAAAATCCCAGCCTGGATTTATATGCATTTAAGGGAATAATCAGCTACTCTTAGCTGGGATTAAACATTCCAGAAGTTTATTACCCACAGAGTTATAAAAAGGACAATTGCATTTTCCTTTGCCTCCCAACTCCTGCCTGGTATTCAGCCCAATTCTCTAAATTAAACCTTAATGCTTTAATGGCTCTTCCTTATGAAGATAACTATTAATTATAATCCTATCATCAGCTGAACTTCTCTCTGAGTAAGTGAAAGGTTGGGCTTAATCTTTTGCCATAAAATAGGTTTTTCCCCATAAAATTGTCTATTACTGCTGGAGCTGTGATGATCCCCCTGCTCAGATATTTCTGTAAGCTCCTGAACTCTGAGTTTTCCAGGCATTTACAGCTGGCAGGAGGAGAGGAATGCAGTGTTTGTCACAGCAATGCTTTACAGGTGTCACTGCACAAGGGTCCTGCTCACTGCTTTGGCTCTCTGGGGAGATTAGGAATTACAAAAACCAGCATCAGGTGTAATTCCAGACTCACTGAGGCTGGAAAAGCTCTCCAGGATCACAGAGTCCAACCTGTGCCTGATCCCCAGCTTGTTCCCAGCCCAGGGCACTGAGTGCCACCTCCAGGGACTCCAAACCTCCCTGGGGGCTGTGCCAGGGCCCTCTGGCCCAGCCTGGAACATTCCAGGGGCTTGTGGAGAGCCAGGGGCTGGACCTGGCCCTTGGCCTTGCTGGTCGTCAGCCCATGGATCCATCCAGCCTGTGCTGAGCCCTCTGCAGATCCACATCCCACCCCCCTGGGGCTGTCCATGAGCTGGGCCAGGGCTGTCCATGAGCTGGGCCAGGGTGGTGCCCTCCATCCCCGTGTCCAGAGCATCCATGGAGGTGCTGAGCAGGCCTGAGGCAGCCCTGAGCCCACTGGTGCCCGTTCCCAGCTGGATGTGCCTCCATCCCTGGGTTTATCCCAGCTTTGTCCCCGTCAGGAATGAACAATAAACCCAGTCCAATTCCCCTTTTATACCCTCTGGTGTTTGCAGAACTGGGAAAGCCCCAGGGAGCAGTTCTGCTCCAGACCCTGAACGCTGCTGAGGGAGCCCAGAGAGGCTGCTCCAGATCCAGTCACCCAGCAGGAACACCCCTCACCCAGGAATAACACCCCTCACCCAGGAATAACACCCCTCACCCAGGAATAACACCCCTCACCCAGCTGGAACACCCCTCACCCAGCTGGAACACCCCTCACCCAGAAATAACACCCCTCACCCAGAAATAACACCCCTCATCCAGCTGGAACACCCCTCACCCAGCTGGAACACCCCTCACCCAGCTGGAACACCCCTCACCCAGCTGGAACACCCCTCACCCAGGAATAACACCCCTCACCCAGGAATAACACCCCTCACCCAGCTGGAACACCCCTCACCCAGCTGGAACACCCCTCACCCAAGATCAGTGCCCTTTCCCAGGAGGATGAATGCCCTTTCCCAGGAGGATGAATGCCCTTTCCCAGGATGAATGCCCTTACCCATATCAGTGTCCCTGCCCAGGATCAGTGTCCCTTTCCCAGATCAATGCCCTTTCCCAGGATGAATGTCCTTACCCAGGATCAGTGTCCCTGTCCCAGATCATTGTCCTTTCCCAGGAGGATGAATCCCCTTTCCCAAGATCAATGCCCTTTCCCAGGAGGATGAATGCCCTTTCCCAGGAGGATGAATGCCCTTTCCCAGGAGGATGAATGCCCTTTCCCAGGAGGATGAATGCCCTTACCCACGAGGAGTGCTCCTTCATCTGGTGCTGGTTGCTGTGGGTGCCGCTGGCGTGGCCCCTCCAGAAGCAGCTCTGGCACAGCTGGTAGTTGTGGCACTGCTGGCACCGGTACCGGAAGCCCATCATGCTCTCACAGTGGCAGTACGAGCACTCCACGGGGTGGAAGACTGGCAGATAGGGAAAAAAAACCCAAATAAATGAAAGGTTTCAGTGAATTTTAGGTAAAGCTGGAACATCCCGTTTCTCTGGAGTGTGCAGACCACCCCCAGGTCTCTCAGTGCTCCATCTTTGGGCAGGATTTTGAGGGCAGAACAGGGAATTTTGGTATCATTAACCCTCAGATGAAGTTGATGATAACAGCAGTTCTACCTGACAGGTTCCCACAATATTCCTTCAGATGTCTTCCTCCCTGGGCACACTCAGTTCCCCAGGGAAATCCAACAGAGCACAGGGGGAGCGGCAGGGAAGCAGCAAAGCTGCATCTCACCGGGAGGATTTGGCTGGATTCTGCCTCAGGAGATCCCTGGGGCCCTGTCACCTCTTCAGAAAGGCCAATTCCTGGTCCAAACCCCCTCTCACCCCTCCCTCCTGCACCTCCACAGCTCCCAGTGTCCCTCTGAATGTGAACATCCAGAGAACTGCAGAGCTGAACCCAGTTCACACCCTCAGGGGTGGGCTAAAACAAACAGCAACAAATGCTCCTGCCCTGTCCTCCCCAGGGATGGACAATCCTGCTCCACTCCAGTCTGGAAGAAACCAAGGAGGAAAGTGAGCATGAGGGGAAGGAGATGAGACCTCCCCATGGGAAATGCACCCTGAAACACGAGGGACAAAACAGAGCCGGGGCCTCCCCATCCTCACCAGCAGGAATTCCTTCCCAATATCCCTAAATATCTATATCTATTAATATCTATCAATATCTAAATCTACCCTTTTCCAGCTTAAAGCCATTCCCTGGCTCCTGGCCCTCCAGCCCTTGTCCCCAGTCCCTCCCCAGCTCTCCTGGAGCCCCTTTGGGCCCTGGAGGGGCTCTGAGCTCTCCCTGGATCCTTCTCCCAGCCTGGCTCCATGAGAAGTCCTCCCCCAGCTTGTCAGAGCTGTCCCTTCTCCTCCCTGGCTGGTGCAGGAGCAGAGATTGCAGCTGATAGAAGGGAACAGAAGCAGCAGAGAGTGCAAACCCTGATATCCTGATGGGGGAAGCAAGAACAGATAACAAAGCACGAGGCACGGCAGGGACAGCACTCAGTGTCCTGCACGGCCTCAGAAGGATGGATAAGACTGGAGCAGCCAGGATCAGGGATTATTAAATCAGGCACCAGGAAGATGGCAACAAAAGAGGTGGGAATTGTTCTGGTTACCTGCAGGGTTGTTTTTTCTTGTTTTAGGTTTTTTGTCTGTTTCAGTTTCTGGTTGTTTTGTTGGTTTTTATTTTCCTTGTGGTTTTTATTTTCTGTTGTTTTTTTTCTTGGGTTTTCTTTGTTCAGGTTTTTGTGGGGGTTGTTTGTTTAGGTTTTGTGGGGTTTATTTGTTTAGGTTTTTGTTTCTGGGGGTTTTTTGTGGTATTTTGTTTGTTTGTTTTCATTTTTCTGCAAAGGCCAAAGTTTAGCACTGGATGGGAAAGACCCAAGTGAAGAGGAGCAGCCAAGCTGGTCCCACCCTGCTCCTGGCTGCTGCCAGGGAATGCCAGCCTCAAATCAGGATCCCCTTTTCCCTGGAGTTCATTTTAACATTTCCACCAGACCAACCTCCTCACCTTCTGGGCACCATTTCCCATAGGGCCTGACACAAGAAAATTGCCACCATCAAAATTCATTTAAAAACTCCAGGATCCCTGAGGCTGGAAAATCCCTCCCAGCCCATGGAGCCCCAGCTGTGCCTGATCCCCACCCTGTCCCCAGCCCAGAGCTCTGAGTGCCACATCCAGGAATTCCCTGCACACCTCCAGGGATGAGACTGCAGCAGCTCCCTGGGCAGCCCCTGCCAAGGCCTGAGCTCCCTTTCCAGGCAGAAATTCCTGCTGCTGGCCAAGCTGAGCCTGCCCTGGCCCAGCCTGAGGCCATTTCCCCTTGTCCTGTCCCTGTGCCCTGGGAGCAGAGCCCGAGCCCTCCTGGCTGTCCCCTCCTGGCAGGGACTTGTGCAGAGCCACAAGGTGCCCCTGGAGCCTCCTTTTCTCCAGGCTGAGCCCCTTTCCCAGCTCCCTCAGCCTCTCCTGGGGCTCCAGCCCCTTCCCAGCTCCCTCAGCCTCTCCTGGGCTCAGGAGCATTCAGAGAATGTGGATTTTCTTCCACTGGCTGCTGTAACACTGAAACCCATCAGGTTTCACCCCCAGGCAGAGCCCATCCCTGAGCTCTGAGCCCAGCCAGCTCTGGGATGCTGTGGGACAGCACAGGGGGAGGCACGAGGTGCTGGGGACATGAGCAGGGACAGAGCATTCCCATGTGTGAGCAGAGCACACACACACACACACACAGAGCTAATAACAACACAAATATTCCACGTACCATTCTCAACGTGGGCGAGTCTGTGCATGAGGGGCAGCCACACAAGGCACTGGGGAGGAGGGTCAGCCATCAGCGTGTCCAGGAACATGTTCAGCATCACCTTCTTCTGCAGGGGGAACACAGGCAGCACTGCAGTGCGGACAGCAACATCCATTTCCTACTGCAAGGGCTTCTCCAGCCTTAAAACTTCTCTGGGACACAAACTGCCCGCCAGGAATATTTCCTGTATTGTCATAGTCACGGAATCAGGGAATGGGTTGGGTGGGAGGGACCCCAGAGCCCCTCCAGTGTCACCCCTGCCACGGCAGGGACACCTCCCACTGTCCCAGTGTCCAGCCTGGCCTTGGGCACTGCCAGGGATCCAGGGGCAGCCCACCCTCCCAGCCAGGAATTCCTTCCCAATATCAAATGTAAACCTGGAGCCTCATTGATTCTGAAATCAAAGGCTGCTTCCTACTGTGTCATATTCCAAACATGTTAATTGCTAATTAACTTATATTTAGTCACTATAAATTTTACATCAAATGCTACAGAAATGATTCTTCTGGAGCATCATCATGCCCAGAGTCTAAACATTTAATTTTAGGCCTAAGATCAATCAAGTTCATGTTTACAGTTGATTGAAGGATTAGTTATGTTATTTACATTACCTCAAACGAGAAACAAATCATTGAACAATTAAAATACAACTGCAATGGATTTAAAAACTAACTGCTGCACAGAAGGTGTTTATTTTGAACAGATCCTGGAAGTGACTTGTTGAAACTAATTGTCTTAACACAGTGAAAAAGCTTTGAAAAATCAAGGGGAAATAGTAAAAATGGCATATTTTATGTTTTGGAAAAGAAATGAGTCATTCCTGCTCTTCTGGTGGGGAACAGGGGTGGCCCTTCAAGGAGGGGAATCAACTGAAATGCCAGAAAACCCTTGAACTGCTTATTCTGGACTGTTTCAAAGTGCTGGGGTGGTACAGGGGACCTCAGTGACCCCCAGCCCCAATGCCCTGGGAATCCCAAACCTCAAATCCCAAATCCCAGATTCCAAACCCCAAGCCCCAAACCCCCAGTCCCAAACCCCAAACCCTCAGTCCCAAATCCCAAACCCTCAGTCCCAAACCCCCAGTCCCCAAGCCCCAAACCCTCAGTCCCAAACCCCAAACCCCAAACCCTCAGTCCCAAACCCCAAACCCTCAGTCCCGAATCCCAAANAGCCCCAAACCCCAAACCCTCAGTCCCAAACCCCAAACCCCCAGTCCCAAACCCCAGACCCCCAGTCACAAACCCCAAACCCTCAGTCCCAAACCCCAAACCCCAGACCCCAAACCCCAAGCCCCCAGTCCTGACCTGCTGGGGGAAGCAGGTGCGCACCGAGTGCTCCGTGTAGCCGAAGGAGGGGCCCTCGAACACGGCCGTGGGCAGCTTCAGCACTTCCCTCAGGAACTGGTCAAACTTGGTGAAAATCATCAGCCCGTTGGAATCTGAGATCTGAGAGAAAATATCTGTAAGAAAATACAATAAAACCCCCCAGTAAATTTGGGTTCACTGTGGGAAAACGCCCCTCCCTCTGCACCCCAAGCTGCTCCTTTGTGCTTGACTCTCACCAGTCTCTGATCACTGCCAGCAAGGATTTACCCAGGTCAGTATTCCCAAAAGCCTCCCCATTTCCTCCATCCCATCAGGGCCAGAGGAAAGCTCCTGCCATGAACTGGGACAGTGAGGGAGCAGGAGAATTCCACAGGAGCACACCTGGACCCCAAAACTACAGAAACCCCTCAGAGGGGGCTCCCAGAATGAAAACCAGAGACAGAGCCAAAGCTGGCACAGCTCCTGGGAAATGTGTGCACCAAGGGCATGGGGGATGGCAGGAGCCAACATTCCAGGATCCCTGAGGCTGGAAAAGCCCTCCCAGCCCATGGAGCCCCAGCTGTGCCTGATCCCCACCCTGTCCCCAGCCCAGAGCTCTGAGTGCCACATCCAGGAATTCCCTGCACACCTCCAGGGATGAGACTGCAGCAGCTCCCTGGGCAGCCCCTGCCAAGGCCTGAGCTCCCTTTCCAGGCAGAAATTCCTGCTGCTGGCCAAGCTGAGCCTGCCCTGGCCCAGCCTGAGGCCATTTCCCCTTGTCCTGTCCCTGTTCCCTGGCAGCAGAGCCCGAGCCCTCCTGGCTGTCCCCTCCTGGCAGGGACTTGAGCAGAGCCACAAGGTGCCCCCGGAGCCTCCTTTTCTCCAGGCTGAGCCCCTTTCCCAGCTCCCTCAGCCTCTCCTGGGGCTCCAGCCCCTTCCCAGCTCCGTTCCCTGCCCTGGACACGCTCCAGCCCCTTCCCAGCTTTACCAGGAACCTTTGGAAGCCAAAGGCACTGACCTCAGGCCCAGGCACTGCACAGCTGGGCAGTGGGAAGGGGAACTGGATCCCATTTTGGATCTGAGGTTTGATCAGGAATTGTTCCCTGGCAGGGTGGGCAGGCCCTGGCACAGGGTGCCCAGAGCAGCTGGGGCTGCCCCTGGATCCCTGGCAGTGCCCAAGGCCAGGCTGGACACTGGGACAGTGGGAGGTGTCCCCCTGGATCCCTGGCAGTGCCCAAGGCCAGGCTGGACACTGGGACAGTGGGAGGTGTCCCTGCCATGGCAGGGGTGGGATTTAAGGTCCTTTCCAGCCCAACCCACTCTGGGATTCTGAGAACGTTTGTGATGAGAGGAGTTTACACTTTTTAAGCAGCTCTGAAGGGACAAATGTGCTCCTGGAAGCAAAAAGGGGCTGAGCAGATGTTCCCTGATGTTTGTAAGGACAGAGGGAGAGGAGGGAGGTGCTGCAGGTGTCCCAGTCCCTGTCCCTGCTCCTCTCTCTGAAGGACAAAGCCTCCCAAGCCCCTGATCCCCAGAGCTGCCCTGCCCCAGCCCCAGCTCTGGTGGCCCAGCAGAGGCACATCCCAGGGGCAGGGATGCAGAGCCTGACAGGAGAATGATGTCCCAGGAAACAGAACTGCCCTGGCATCCCAGGAAAGATCTCTCAGACAGCCAGGGGGCCCCTGCTGCACCCCCAGAGCTCTGAAGGGAGGTTTCACCAATGGTAACAAGACCTAGAATTCCCCAGGATGTGACAGATCCCAGAACTCCTCGGTAGCACTGAACCCTCTCTGCTGTTATTTCAGGCACCATCAGTAATTAAACATCAAAAAGCTCATGCTGGCAGAAAACAACCTTCATTTCAGTGATCAAAACCAGCTTCAGAAAAAAAAAGACACTTTTGGAAAGGCATGTTTCCAGTAAACTGCAGAAATTATCCCAATTTCCTGAAAGAATGAGCTCAGGAAGAAGCCTGCAATGCCTCAGAAAAGAGGGACAAAGCTACCTGGAATTTGTATCACTGATTAAACAGAGCAGCTTCAACTGAAGGTCTCTTGAGCAATGTTATAAAATAAAACATATTAGGAGAAATGGGGGGGAAGAAAAATATATTTTAAATGGTGCATTTCTATATTTCAGAAAAATACAGAAGCCAGAAAAATTAGACTTAACCTGGAAACAGAATATGGGAAAAAAAAAGTCAGGATGAAAATGCCCACAAAATGAAACCAATGTGAAGAACTTGATTAGAAAGGTAAAAATCCAGAACCCTAATGCAGAATCCCTGCAGAAGTGGCCCCTGCAAGGGACTTGGCAAGGAGGGATGGGTAGGACACAATAATTGCATTTAAAACGGGCTGGAAACTCCTGGGTGTGCTCAGAACCTTCATCTGAGCTGAGCAGGCAGCAGGAGTCAAGTGATCCTAACGAGAGAGAAATGAAAGGTATGGAAATTTGCATATGCAAATGAGAGAGAACAGCCCAGGCTGTGCCAAGGGTAAATGAAGATTCCCTCCAAACCAACGTTTGTGCTGCAGGTAAAATATTGGGTTTCTTGTCAAAGTGGGAAACTTCCACATGGGGAATTAGCTGGGAAATTGGACAGGATAAAAAGCAGGATATAATTCCATCCTTTCAAGGGAAACTGGTGACAGGAGGAGGGGGAACTCAGGCTGGGCCAGGGCAGGGCCAGGCTGGAGATCAGGAGGAATTTCTGCATGGCAAGGGCACTCAGGAGGTTTGGAGTCTCATCCCTGGAGGTGCCCCAGGAAGGCCTGGACAGGTGGGCACTGGGCACAGCCTGCACTCCATGGGCTGGCAGGGACTGTCCCACCTCAGAGATCCTGCACAAGGAGCTGCTCTGCACGGAGAGCACACCCCAGGAAATTCCAGAGGCTGGGAAGGGCCCCACTGAGCCCCCCTGTCCATCAGGGACACTGCCACAACATCATCCTGCCCCAGCAAGGGCACAGACCCAGCTCCCATCACTCACAGGGACCGTGGGATGAGAGAACAGCAAAAATACAACTCCAGCATTTCCAGAGAGCTCCAGCCTGCTCAGGGAAGGGAGGCTGGGCTGGGATCCTCCTGGACAAGGAGATTCTGGGGGTGAAGTGTGTCAGTAATCAGGGAGACACGCAGGGAAGGAAGGGAGAACCCAGAGCAGCACAATGAGAAGGCTCAGAAGGAATCAGGGAAGAGCTGAGGCAGGGAGATGAGGAGCCTGTTCCTCCCTGGAGCAGATGGCTGGGGCAGGCACATCCCTTCCTCCCTGGGATCCCTGGGCACTCAGCAGCCTTTCATGGATCTGCCTTCAGTGGAAGTGGCTGCAGGAGCAGCTGGGGGCTGAGGGTGTTTGATACCCACCACATCCTCTGGGAAAGTTAAAGCAGAATTGCTCTCTGCTTCTCCATCTGTCACTGCTCATTCCAGTGGCTGCCCCGGGGTTCCTGTCCTGGAAGGGGAAGGGAGCAGCTGGAAGGGAAGGAGCAGCTGTTTGCAATTCCCCATCTTGCTCAGGATTTTACAGAACCTTCTTCCACCACCAGTTTTCTCTCCAGCTTGAGGAACCCTGCTCCATGTCCTGGCCCAGCAGGATTTGGGGTTTGGATCCTGGGTCAGTTCCATCAGCCCAGAGCTGCTGGAGACAGGTGGGAACCTGCTCAGAGGGGACAGGGACTGAGCCCAGGAGGGCTCAGGGGAAGGGACAGGGTTTGGAGCAGCCTGGGACAGTGGGAGGTGTCCCTGCCCATGGCAGGGGGGACATTGGATGGGCTTGAAGGTCCCTTCCAACCCAAACTATCCTGGATTCCACCTCAGAAGCTGGAATTACAGAGTGAGAAGGTGCAGAGAGTCTCAGGGGAAGCACAAGATTCACAGGATCCTCAAAGCAGTGACATGGTGACAGCTGGGACATTCCTATTGGAAAATCACCCCTCAAGTTCTCCATTTCAAGAAGTGCCCAAGAGCTTAACCTAAAGAAATGGGCTTGGGGAGCCTCCTGAGTCTGGGCTGGGGATAACCAGGAGCTAGAACATGGAACAAAACGACCCTGGAGGTGTCCAGGAAGGCCTGGACGTGGCACTCAGGGCTCTGGGGACAAGCTGGGGATTGGGCACAGCCTGGACTCGATGGGCTGGGAGGGACTGTCCCACCTTAATGACCCTGGGATTCTGGGGTTTGCAGCACAGCTCCAGGTCACTTTAAAGATCCCAGAATCAATAAAAAACAAAGCAAAACGCCTCCAGAACTCAATACAACGAGCACAGGAGAGGAAACAGTCCACAAACACTGGGATTGCTTGGGAGTACTCACATCTGAGCTTGTCCAGGATCTTCCCCCCACACATGGTGGCCAGCATGGCTTTCACCGAGAACACCGTCAGCTTCCCGCGGCCCTCGCTGCAGGGAAGAGCAGCCGTGAGCAACTCCCCAGGGAAGGGAGCAATTCCAACACCCCAGAGCGACCCAGGAACAATGGGAATAGCAACAATCACCCCCACTAACTGCCAGTGCTTCAAGGAGCTGAAACCAAACGTGCTGGACAGGGAATTTGTAGTGGCATGGAAAATGCAGCGATGGGGAAAGCACAGGGTGGGTGTGGGCAGAGCTGGAAAAGCAGAATTCTCCTGAAGGGAGGCTCTGAGAGAGCTGGAGAGGGGCTTTGGACAAGGGCCTGGAGGGACAGGAAATGGTTTGGGTGGGAAGGGACCCCAGAGCCCCTCCAGTGGCACCCCTGCCATGGCAGGGACACCTCCCACTGTCCCAGGGTCCAGCCTGGCCTTGGGCACTGCCAGGGATCCAGGGGCAGCCCCAGCTGCTCTGGGCACCCTGTGCCAGGGCCTGCCCACCCTGCCAGGGAACAATTCCTGCCCCAAATCCCATCCAGCCCTGCCCTCTGCCACTGGCAGCCATTCCCTGGCTCCTGGCCCTCCAGCCCTTGTCCAAAATCCTTCTCTCCACTCTCCTGGAGCCCCCTGGGGCCCTGGAGGGGCTCTGAGCTCTCACCACACTCAGAGTGAGACCTGTGTGACATTGCAGCAGCACAGGGATGCAGTTCCAGCGTGGATGGGCAGAGTTTACAGAAGGCTGCCTGCCTGCCGTGCTGCTGAGCTCCTGGAGAGGGAGCCTGAGCCCAGGGCACAGGGAGGCAGAGCAGCTGCTGCCCCTGCTGGGATCCAGGAGCTGCTCCCACACGAGGCACAACTCCAGGGCTGGGGGACAGTGGGGAACAAAACCCTGCCTCTGTCTAAAGCCTCCATCCTCTGGGGCAGCTCCTCCAAACATGCCCATTCCTGGGGCTAAATCCTGTGTTCTTTGGTGTGAGCTGTCTCAGAGGGACCAAACTTGTCTCAACTAACATTAAAGCAGCACTGAATGGAACTCCCCTGGGTTCTGCTGGCACAGAACCTGCTCTGAGCGCCGTGCTGGCTTTATTTGTCCTCAGTGAGACAGGGACTGCCCTCAGCTCTGGGCTCTCTGAGGGACACACTCAGTGTCTGTGAGGTGACAAAAACAAATTGTCCCATCAGGAGAGCATCAAAGTCTGGACATGACAAACAGAACATCTCTTGGGCACACTCAGGGCTGGGTAAATCCGGGGTAGAAGCAGAAACCAAGCTGAAAAAAAAGCTGATTTGGAGAAAGGCAAGAGCAAAAGTAAGAAATGGCAACCACAGCAAAGGACCTGCAGCTGCTGCTCAGAGAACACTAAGGGCACAGCTACTCAGGATCAGCTGCAGGGAGAGCCTGTGAGAGAAATGCAGAAAGCTGGACACGAGGAGATGCCCAGACAGAACCCTGAGCAAGAAACGAGTTCATTTTCCAGCCAGGAAATGAGAATCAGCTCTATGGGGTCACAGCACACTGGAGGGGGCTGCAAACAGGGCTGAGTTTAAAAAGGGTCTCTCTGAGCAAGAGCCAACAAAACACGCTGGCTTCCCAAGCCCTGAGCCCCCAGGGTGTGCCAGGCCCAGCAGAGAACAGGGCTCCCAGCAGAGCCAGAGGCTGCAGCTCCCCCAGAGCAGCCCAGGGGTGCAGCAGGAGCAGGAGGCAGTACTGGCCTGTCGTAGGCTGCTACCATGAAGTTGAGGAGGAGGCTGATGGACTGCTCCACGCTGATCTGGTGTGTGGAGGGCAGGCGCTTGTTGAGCTGGTAGTAGATGGAGGAGATGATGGTTTCCAGGCGGGACACGTTGATCTCAGCCCCGTGATCCAAGGTGTTAAGGCCGTTGTCTCGGAAGGCTTCGATCATATTCCAGATATCAACCAGGTGAACTGAAAAGGAAGGGAAAACAATTTACTGCTGCTCTGCAAGGCTGCGAGCCCGCTGTGCTGGCACTGCCTGTGAACAGGGTCAGCTCCCCTCGGGCAGGAGCGGCTGCTGGGCACAGTGAGACACTCAGCTCGTCCCCACAGCTCCTCAAGGGACACTGCAGGGCTCAGACGTGGCTTTTATTCCACCCTTCCACACCTGGGTCTCTGTCAGAAACAGTTCCTGAAGGAGCAGAGCCCTCTCCCCTGAGCATGCAGTGGTTTAAGCACCAGAACTCCTCCTGGCAGGGTGGGCAGGCCCTGGCACAGGGTGCCCAGAGCAGCTGGGGCTGCTCCTGGATCCCTGGCAGTGCCCAAGGCCAGGCTGGACCCTGGGACAGTGGGAGGTGTCCCTGCCATGGCAGGGATGACACTGGAGGGGCTCTGGGGTCCCTCACACCCCAAACCCAAACCAGTCTGGGATCTGATGACACTCTAAATCCACTACAAACTCTTGACAGTTTTGTTGGATAAATTTTGAACACCCTCGTGCTGACTCGCAGAGTACTGAAGGAGGAACTTGATGTTCCAGTTAAACTCTGGGTGTTTCCAGCTGATCCAGTTCCCAAACCCAGAGTATAATGTTTGTTAAACACAGGTCTGGGGCTCCAAAGCGTTCCCCCAAATTTCCCTGCTGGATCTAAGGAGTGTTAACAACGTGGAGAAAACCTTTCCCAAACCACAGCAAGTGATCTGCAGAACCACATTAAACAGTATTTCAAAATGTTTCCAAGCTTTAAGGTTTGCAGGAGGGTGGAGAAGACACCTGAGGATCAGCAGCCACCCAAACCGACCCTGACCCAGCACCCAGAGAAGGGTGAATTCACTGCTCATCTCCCCCCAGGAGGGTCTGCAGTGAAACTCGTGCCTTTCTTACACTGATCTCGTTTTGTATTTCTCCCAGAAAACCTCCCCAAGGAGCAAAGCCAGGCTGTCCCCACCCCCTGGAGCAGCCTGTGAGCAGAGAGCCCTGAGCTGTACCCCAGGCCAGGGTGGCAAAGGGCCCAGGGCTGGTGTACAGAGCTTGGGGGCTGGCACTGCTTTGTGCTCCCTGCTGGAAAACAGAGATTTCATCCAAAACCTGCAAGTGCAGCCAGCAGCTGACACTGTGCCCAGGCTGAGCAAAGGCAGCTGGCCATGGCCACCACAGCCCAGGGACACAGCAGGGACACGTGTCCCCCTGGCCACCTCCCCAGCCCTTCTGCTGACCTCCTCCTCCTCAACTCTTCTGCTGGCCTCCTCTTCCTCCCCAGCCCTTCTCCTGGCCTCCTCTTCCTCCCCAGCCCTTCTCCTGGCCTCCTCTTCCTCCTCCCCCCCAGCCCTTCTCCTGGCCTCCTCTTCCTCTTCCTCCTCCCCAGCCCTTCTCCTGGCCTCCTCTTCCTCCCCAGCCCTTCTCCTGGCCTCCTCTTCCTCCCCAGCCCTTCTGCTGGCCTCCTCTTCCTCTTCAGCCCTTCTCCTGGCCTCCTCTTCCTCCCCAGCCCTTCTGCTGGCCTCCTCTTCCTCCTCCCCAGCGCAGGCACAGTTGCTGTGCCCTGGATTAGGGATCTCCTCCCACACCTGTCCTGCTGGGCTCCTTGCTGTGTCCAGCCCAGCAGGACAGGGCACCAAGTGCATCCTGCTCCCCTGGGATCCAGCAGTGCCCTGGAGCTGTCCCGGCCCAGGGCAGAGAGGGGACAGCCTGCAGTGCCCAGAGCTCTGCATGGCACACGTGTCCCCTGTGCTCCCTGGGGTGCTCTGGGTTCCCTGCCAGGAGACAGCCCTCTCACAGCTCGAGACAGCTACACCCAGCTCTGAGGGCAGCCAAACACCACAGCTGCCCTTGGACTTCACATCTCCTGAAGAGCAAACGTGAAGATACCACAGAGGCTCGGGCCAGGATCGCTGCCCCTTTTTAATTCCACATTTAATTGTGTGTTAGATCTCTGCTGAAGGCAGAGCTGGCAGGGCCTGACCCCAGTGCAGAGGGGCTGGGGCAGCACTGCAGCAGCCCTGCAGGCAGGAGCAGGGTGTGAGCAGGAGCCTGGACACCACTCACGGTTGCACCTCTTCTGCACGAAGCGCAGCTTGCAGGCGGTTCTGTACGTGGAGAGCCGGATCACGTCGAAGTTCTGGGCTCCTGCAACAAACCACAGGTTTGGAGCTTTGCTTCCCTCTGCAACACCCAGCAAACCTGATGCTGCTGAGAGGAGGACTTGGAAAAAGGCTCGAGGGTCTCCTGTGACACCTCCCCAGCCACAGCACACACCAGGGACCCTGTGCTCAGGTGAGACCCCAGCCTTGGGGATCCCAACAGCACAAGGAGCTGGAGCTGCTGGAGAGAGCCCAGAGGCTCCAAGGTGATCAGAGGGATGGAGCAGCTCTGCTGTAAGGAAAGGCTGAGAGAACTGGGATTGTTCAGCCTGGAGGGGAGAAGGCTCTGGGGTGACCAAACTGCAGCCCTGCAGTACCTGGAGGGCTGGAGAGGGACTGGGGACAAGGGCTGGAGGGACAGGACACGGGGGCAGGGCTGGATAGGATTTGGGGCAGGAATTGTTCCCTGGCAGGGTGGGCAGGCCCTGGCACAGGGTGCCCAGAGCAGCTGGGGCTGCCCCTGGATCCCTGGCAGTGCCCAAGGCCAGGCTGGACACTGGGACAGTGGGAGGTGTCCCTGCCATGGCAGGGGGGGAATGGGGTGGGATTTAAGGCCTTTTTCCACCCAGACCACCCCACGATTCCACAACAACGCCACTCTGGAAACAAACCAGTACAAATATGCAGTTTTAAACTGGAGCTCCCTCAGTCTGGGACTGGAATTTAGGACATGTTGGCCTAATCCAGAAACTCCCTTCAGCCCCTTGCAGGACAGCAGGATAATGTGATGTCACACAAACACCAATTCTTAACTCTTCCAGAGTTGGATCCTGCACAAATCAGCCCCCACACCATTTCTCAAGTCACACCAGCATTGCAGGGCCATCTTTTATCTTTTTTTAAGGCCCAGGGTGCTCTGTCTGTTGTCACTATTCATTTAAATAGCTGCCCACAGACCTCAGGCATTGGCACCGACGAGAGATGTGACCATTCCCTCAGGAAGGAGCTTCCCAAAACCTAGGGATAATAATGACCTTCCCAGGCAGCTGGGACTGCCCTTGGGCATCTCCTGATTTTCCCTGCATGGGGCTTGTGGGACAGGGCGGGGATGATCTGGTGCAGCTGTCACAGGGAAGCTCTCAGTGAAGAATAAATGACATTATGTCTTCAGATTTCCTACTTACTCATTTCCATGAACAGCTGCCTCTTCTCTGCCATGGTCCTCCTCCTCTTCCCACTCTCCTCAATCATTCTGGAGACAAAAATGGCAAAAAACGCTGTTTGTGTTAGAATTGCTGTCACAAGAGCGACTTGCTGTGAACAGCAGGATTCTGTCCCTCAGCAGGAACAGTCTGCTTCTGTTTGGGAATTCCAGGACACACACAGACACCTCTCAGCATTATCCCATTCCACACACACACACCTCAGGCTTGTTAACACCTTCCAAGGCACAGGAAACATCAATTCTCAACACCTGAATTTAGTCTGAAAAGCTCAGAGCTGCGTTAATACAGCAGAAATATTCCAGAAGGAATTCCTTTGTGTTCCAAGGGACTTTGTTTGCAAAACACAGAGGGAGTCAGGAGCAGGGGAGATGTTGGAGACCTTGGCCAGGAGGAACAAGCTGATCCCATTCCCTGCCTGGCTGACAGGGGCCAGTGACCCCTCTTTTCTGCAGGATCACAGAATCCTTTAGCTGGGAAAAATCCAGGATTTGTGGGGATGCTGGGTTTGGGCTTTAAACAGAACTTCTTAAAATTCATTTAACTTTGAGCCCAAACACCTGAGGTCAAATGGGATTTGTCAGGGAAGTAAAGAACTTCCAGCTAATTAAGCTGGAAATAAAAACAGTTTGGTGACAGAGGCCTCCCTTTGCCAGGAAACCAGATTAAAAAAGGAACAGGAGCAGGGAAGAGCTTGTACTCCAAGGTAAGGGGGCACAGGGACAATTCAGTAGCTCTCAGGGCTTATTTCACTACACAGTCCTAAAAGATGCCAAATTTCAGTCCCCTGCAGCAAAAAAAAAGCCCAGTTAATTCAGCATCAGTGTAAAATCTAATTTATACTTCAGTTAATGATTACATTATTCTCTGGTTACCAGATTCACCAACTCAAAATCCAGTAAGTATAGGTTTAATGTGTCTAACCCCCAAAACAGACAAAAATCCCAAACAATCCTTCTCCAGTTCCATCCAGACCTACAGGAGGCAGCTGGCTCAGCCTCCCCAGCCCAGCCTGCAGCAGGAGCAGCAGCAAAGTCGTGCCTTGGCCCTGGCACACGTCCCTGAGGAGCAGCCTTGGCACAGCTCTGGCACTTCCACATTTCCTGCTGGAACCCCACAGCCTGCAAACCACCAAAGGCTTTTTGCTTTTCAGAAAGGAAAGCAAGCACATGGGCTCTGACCTGAAAATACACTGCATTTCCTTGGCTTTTCCTGCTTCAGAAAGCCATAGCCCCAGAACCAATGTGCTGCTGTGTTGTTATTTGGTTTATTTAACACAAAAAAGGATCAGTGGTGCTTTTTATGACTTGTAAAGTTGGGAGTTTTGGGCACACAAGCTTCCAGTCCCATCTCATTCTGCACAAAGCACCTGACAGCACCATGACTTCTGTCCCCAGAGATTCCTCACTCATGGAATCCCAGGATGGGTTGGGTTGGAGGGACCCCAGAGCCCTTCCAGTGTCACCCCTGCCATGGCAGGGACACCTCCCACTGTCCCAGTGTCCAGCCTGGCCTGGCCACTGCCAGGGATGGATCAGCCCCAGCTGCTGTGCTCAGGCTGGCACAGAGGCACCTGCACGTGCCAGGACAGGAGTTCCAGGGATCATTCCAAGAGCCAACGCTGCCACACACAATTCCTGGATAATGAGCTCAGCGTGACCGAGACAGACCCAATTCCATTCCAGAGGAGCTGAGGCTCACCCTCTGTGCCCTCTGCAAGGAAAAGGAGGGACTCAGCTCCTGCCTGAAATGAGACCTGAATGAGGGATCTGCTCTCTCCATGATCCCAGAATCCTTCAGCAGGAAAATCCCTCCCAGCCCATGGAGCCCCAGCTGTGCCTGATCCCCACCTTGTCCCCAGCCCAGAGCTCTGAGTGCCACATCCAGGAATTCCCTGCACACCTCCAGGGATGAGACTGCAGCAGCTCCCTGGGCAGCCCCTGCCAAGGCCTGAGCTCCCTTTCCAGGCAGAAATTCCTGCTGCTGGCCAAGCTGAGCCTGCCCTGGCCCAGCCTGAGGCCATTTCCCCTTGTCCTGTCCCTGTTCCCTGGGAGCAGAGCCCAACTCCCACATTACTGCCAAATACTTGGAAAAGTGGTGGAAATTAGGTTCTATCAGAATAATTGACAAACCTGTTTTTAATCCCTGAACCATCAGATCCAGAAGGATCCCTCGGTGATGAGGCTGGGAAGAAGGAAGATGGGGAATCTTTCTCAAGTTCAAAACGGGAATGAACCAAACCCACAAGAACTGCAACTATGTTTGGGATGCAAATTACAGTGCTCAGCTCCCAAAACAGGGAAGGGAAACAGCAGCTTGGCCTGAGCTGGTTTGGTTTGTTAGGTTGGGTTCTTTGAAGGGGCTGGGGAGGCAGGGTTTGGGGTTTGGTGAGGATTTTTGGGGTGGGTTTTGCCTCCTTGTTTGCAGGTTCCTTGCTTTTTAAAAAATTGAAGCAAAATCCATGAGCAAAGTGCCAGGAAACACAACAGGGCTGGGATGATGTGGCAGCCAAGAATTCCTGAGGTGGCTGCTCACATTCCGTGGGCACATGGAGGGGAAACCACTCCAATACAGAATCCCAGGATGGGTTGGAGGGACCTCAGAGCCCATCCAGGGCCACCAGGACACCTCCCACTGTCCCAGGCTGCTCCCAGCTGAGTGTCCAGCCTGGCCTTGGGCACTGCCAGGGACAGGAGGTCCAGTTCTTTGGAAATCCCTATTGAAAAGCAAAGTTCAGCTAAAAGCAGAAAGCAATGCAGCACCTTAGAAAACTGCAGCTGACTGTGCCTGATGTGAACTTCCAAGATTTTCTAGTTTCCCTTCATACTCCCACCTCTCCCCCCTTCAACAGGTCCAACACTTGTTTGGCCTCAGGAGCACCCTGTGACAGAGTGAACAGCAGTCAATTTATAAACTCCACACCAACTACTGTGGGAAATCCTGCACTCAGCCACCACCTAAAATCCCTTTAATATCCTGACATTTTTCTTGTTTCCCTTGGTTGACACCTTTTTTCTCTCCCTGTTTCTCCCCCACTGCTCTGTGCCAGGGCTGTCCCTGTCAGAGCTGTGCCCAGGTGAGATTGGTACCCCCCTGGCTGTGCTGTGCTGGCTGTGCCCCCTGGCTCCCTGCAGGTGCCCCCAGCTTCAGGCCAATACTACAGGACCTTGCTTAGCAGGTTTCGCTCTTCTTGGAGCTCATCAGCTGTAGGTAACGGCCCAGGGACGGCTCCACAGGCACAGCTGTGCCACATGGCCTCCTCAGCCACACTGCTGCTGCCTCCCCTTCTTCTGCTTCATTCTGGAATTCCACCTACAAGGAACACTCCAAAGGAGCTGCTGACCTTTAGGGCTTGAGAGCCACTTCCAGACCTTGCTTTGCACCGAGCCGCAGCCTCGTCAGCAGGAACAGAGAGAGAAAAGTTCATTTACCACTTATTAAATCTGACTTGCTTCAGCTTCTTGGTGTTGCATGTCATTAGAGAAAAAGTATTTGATGTCACTGATTAAACTGCAGTTGCTGCACGAGGATAAAATTGTGCCCACACCTATTTATGGTCAGAAATAACTTGTCATTAAAATAAACCAGAAAACCGGTTTGGGGCATGGGCTGATCTGAGCCGTGTTTGACACATGGAACGAGGTTCAGTGACTTTCTGTCATTTTCCTGATCAGAAGAAACAACTATTCCTGGTGTTTCAAGGAAATGCTTTCCTCCTTTGTCACTTCATTCACTCCTGAAAATGTAACTTTAATAAATAACATAACTGGGATGAAGATGCTGAATAAAAATTGAGGGCATACCTGTGCTGGCAGAAAAAGTTACTGGTGTCCATTGGCCTTGGCACTTCCTTGCTTTGGGCTTCTCAACTCATCTGGCTTCAACTGACATTTGATTGAAATCATCTAAAATAATTTCTGAACTGTCATAAATGTTTTGTTAAAGTATAAATTTAAACTTACTCATAACATAGAAGTGCTTATATTTGCTCAACTCAGATTTCAATAAAAACATGAAGTATTTTTCCTTTTTTTTCCTAACTTGAACAAGGGCCCCACAATGACTGATTGAATCCCCTCCTCTCCCTCTATCTATCCAAAATATCTGATGCTCTTACTCATTTCTGTGTTCTCCTGCTTCATATTCTGGATCTCTCTCCTCAGCAGTCAAACATAATTAATCAGAAATACTCCTTTGTTCCCCTGTGCCTTTTCCTAGGAAGAGGAGTGACCTAGAAGTGATTTCAGGGGGACACACCTGACCCCTGGAAGAGAAAAGACAAACTTTTCATGCTTACTCAGACTGGCAACATCTTTTAAAGCACATTTTAACCACTTCTGACAATTCTTCTAATTTATCTTCACCATTTTAAACCCTGTTCTCATCATTTATAGGATAAGTAACCGAAGCAAAAGCAACTGTGCACAAAAAATACCCTAAAATGTTATTTCTGCATCTCCAGCAAGTCCAGGAAGATCTTTGGGAAGGACCATGCACCTTCCAGCAGCAGCTCCTCAAAACCCAGAGGTTTGGATCTCTCACTGATGTTTGTACATGTCCTGCACTCAGATGATTGTGCAAGATCTTTACAAACCAAAACTGACTCCAGCCTCGGAGGGTGGAAGGAAAAACCCACTTGGCTAAGAGCCAGGACATGGACTGTAACTTCCCAGTGATTACAGCTCTGCAGGGAAATTCTAAACAAGTCAATGGTTCCTTTTTTTATCTCCATAAATCCAGTGGATCCAAAGCTGCTCTGGAAGATTCTGCAAAAACCTGCCCAAATAATGCAGTTTCATTAAAAATTAATCCAATAGTTTAGGAAAACAAATAGTATTGAAGCATAAAGCTTTCCCTCCTGCAGGCCTTGCCATTTCTGCTGGAACTGCGAGGTTCTTCCAAGGCACAAGAAGCCATCTGGTTTGTTCATGCAGGACACAGCATGTGGCAGCACAGCCCCACAGAGCCCTGAGTTACTGGGCTGGAAAATCCCTGATGGACAGGGACACTCCTGGCTGGGATAAACCCGGGGATGGGGGCACATCCAGCTGGGAACGGGCACCAGTGGGCTCAGGGCTGCCTCAGGCCTGCTCAGCACCTCCATGGATGCTCTGGACACGGGGATGGAGGGCACCACCCTGGCCCAGCTCATGGACAGCCCCAGGGGGGTGGGATGTGGATCTGCAGAGGGCTCAGCACAGGCTGGAGCCATGGAGGGTCAACAAGGCCAAGAGCTGGGTCCTGCACTGGGGTCACACCAACCCCATGGAATGCTGCAGGATGGGAAGGGAACAGAGCTGGAAAGGGGCTGGAGCGTGTCCAGGGCAGGGAACGGAGCTGGGAAGGGGCTGGAGCCCCAGGAGAGGCTGAGGGAGCTGGGAAAGGGGCTCAGCCTGGAGAAAAGGAGGCTCCGGGGGCACCTTGTGGCTCTGCACAAGTCCCTGCCAGGAGGGGACAGCCAGGAGGGCTCGGGCTCTGCTCCCAGGGCACAGGGACAGGACAAGGGGAAATGGCCTCAGGCTGGGCCAGGGCAGGCTCAGCTTGGCCAGCAGCAGGAATTTCTGCCTGGAAAGGGAGCTCAGGCCTTGGCAGGGGCTGCCCAGGGAGCTGCTGCAGTCTCATCCCTGGAGGTGTGCAGGGAATTCCTGGATGTGTGTCCTGGGGTGACACTGTGATCCTGGTATCCCAAATCACCTGGTTTATGTTACATATTAAGTTCTGCACCTTTAAGCCTGGCTCTGAGAGTGAGGTGGGGGAAGAAGCAGCTGCAGTTTGTGTTCAGAAGGAGCCCTCACTCCCCCACGTCCTGCTCCTGCTCCTGGACTGCAGCACGGACAGACAGCAGGACAGAGCTCTCCTTTGCTGTTAGTCTTTAGCTGGCTGAGCTTGGGGCTCAGAGCTCCCTGGGCACAGGTTGCACTTAAGAGGATTTTTACAATGGAAATAAATCATTCTGTGATTCCAGAAAAAGCCCCTGGTCTAAGGCCCAGGGTGAGCCAAACAATCTCACCTGCCCACCTGGTCAGAAACTGATAAAGATTGAACTGGATTCAAGTTAAACAAAGATGGAACAAGTAACAATATTTAATCAGAGGTTTCTTTGAAAGCCTTCCAAAACTTTGAACACAGGTTCCCTCCAGACAAAACAGAACAAATTCAAAGCCAGGAGAGTTCCAAAGCACCTGAGTTTCTGTGACTTCACATCTCTCTCAGTCAGCTGAGTGCCCAGAACAGAGAGATGTCCCAGCCCTGAGGAACCTGCAGGTCAGGGTAAGAATGCTGAGGGTGACAGTGGCACTGCAAGTCCCAGCCCCGATGCCAAGGTGTTGTTTTAAGCTCACAGCTCCATAGATCCATTTTCAGTCCCCAGGGAATCACTCAGGCTGGGCCAGGAGCTCTGCAGGCTCTTGGGGACAGCACTGAGTGTCTCAGCACAGATTCTGGCACTGGTCAGGTCTGTTCTCCAGCAAACACACCAGGGTGCAGAGCAGGCAGGACACTCAGTGCCCACAGCACTCAAATGCTCTTCTGGAGTATCCAAACTCTCATCTTCCTTTACTGCCCCAAAGCCTGAGGAGTAGAAATGGGATTTTACAACCTGCCTGCTGCTCTGCAGGCTGAAGTTAATGTCTGTCCGTGGGATTTGCCATGGGCCTGCAAACAAGAGCAAATCCAGCAGCTGAAATCATTTCCTTGAAATAAAGCAGTGCTCCTGTTGGATGAGAGGAATTAAATATTTTACAGGAGGATTTTTGAGCAGCAAGAAGCTGGAAATGGTCTAATTAAGAGCTTACCCCCATCTCAGGTAGGGAAGATTCTTTTTTGTGGAGGGGATTTCTGAGCTCTCAGTGCTTCCAAGAGAAGCTGGCAAAGCCTTCCCTCTCCATCTCACCCTGCAGGCCCCAGCACTGCCTACAGAGCACAGGAGAGAGCTCTGGAACTGCCTCTGCAGCTGAATACAATATCCATTATTAGCAAGAGCTCCGAGCTGCATTCTTGCCCTTTTCCCCATTAAGCAGCCTGGGAGATGGAGCAGGAGCAGGTACCACACACCTGGCAGCACTGGCAGGAGCAGCCCCAGAGAGCTCAGAGCTCTCACAGCCCTCCTGGCACACCTGGGGAGGAGGGAAACTCCAGCAGGGGCAGTGAGAAACACCTGGAAACAGGAGCTGCTTTCCCCAGCACAACTGACTTCAGGATAAAACATTTTTTAATTCATTAACTTCCCCTCCTACATTAACTTACAATATGAAATCTTCCTCACCAGCTTCACAGGTCTAAACTAAAACAATTCTAAGTTTGTGAAGTGTTGGATATTACTGAAAGGGAACAGGAGTACCGAGGCAGGAATTGCCATTAATCTGCATTTAAAAGTCTCTCTGCCACTGCCCCAGGCAATGGGAACTGAACACCTACACAGGGCTAGTAATTTTAACTTTGAGCTGCCAGACACACACAGCACCTTCTTCAAAAGCCTGGCTGCACCCAAGCTACTCCTCACTACTCCAACTGTGGCCACAAACAAAGGGGTTTCTTTCTACAATAACATCATGAGCCTGAACTCAAAGCCCAACTGATGGCACTTGCCATTCTGTAAAACTAAGAGCTTTTACCCCTTAGTTTTTTCACTTTCTCTTTTAAAAAATAAATTTTAAAAAAAGTGAGGGCCTCAGCTCCTTCCCTGTTTGCTTTATGCCAGAACACCCCTTTGCTCCCCAGCTCTTAAAGCACAGAACCACTGAGGCTTTTGGTCACCCAAGATAAATAAAGGTAAAAGCTGCACTGAAGAAGACTGAAAAATACCTCACCTTGCAGTCAGTCAGTAACCAGTTACTAAGATTTCAAGTGTTTTGTAGCCACAACACATCCTTTAGACATCCAGCTCTTCAAACTTAGTGATGAATTGGCACCTGCTGTAATAATTCCATTTGTTCCACGGGAACACCTGGCCAAATATAATGTGTTATCTGCTGTGGAATTTTTAGGTCTCCTACTGTTTCTTCTGGATCCAGGCTGCCTAAAACTCTTCATTACATCAGTTTTTAAATAAATCTGTATTACTTAAGCACAGCTGAGAAGTTAAAGCACTTCAGTCCTTAAAGCCCAGAGGACTGGGAAAGGCCCGTGAAACAGTTTAAGTATAGGTACAGTTTATCAACAGAAATCTGTTTAAACACTAAACCAGAGACAACAAAATCACAGTTTCTTCTCCCTGGTACCAAGGGGAAAACAATTAACCTAATAAAAATATTATGAATTCAAATCCTTATCACCTGAATCACCTTATGTGATTCCTTCTTTAGGCTCTCTAAAGCTCCCCCAGAGCAGCCCACGCAGCCAGGCTGAGCGTGGAGCTCACGGCAGCTCAGGCACCAACCCAGCCCAAGGCCTCAACTTCCAGCAGCATGCTCCTTCCTTCTTCAGAAATGTCACAGCTTCCACAACCCACAGCTGCAACACCCACCCTGGGCTGCACAGCTGCACCCTGAACTGCACAGCTGCAACACCCACCCAGGGCTGCACAGCTGCACCCTGAACTGCACAGCTGCAACACCCACCCAGGGCTGCACAGGACTGGAAGTTCTCATTCCCACCTCACCTGTGCTGTGTGTGATGCAATTGAACTGCTGGAAAAGTGATGTTTTTGTGCTGCTGCAAAAGCCCTTTTTCTTGCATTATGGCAATAATGCAAGCCCCCTCCACCAGCCAGCACTCCCTAAAACATGTACTGCTGTTGGGTCCTGGAATGAACCACAGGCCTGACTGCATCAGCTGCAACACAGCCAACAAGTAAAGCCATTTACTGCTCCAAACACCCCCAGCCTGCTCCAAACCCAGGGAGTTTGGGACAATGCTGGCAGGGCTGCTGCATTCACCACCACAGGAACTGCAGTGAACAATGAGGGTGTCCCATGGAGCTCACAGGAGGTCCTGGATGTGTCCCCTGAAATACAGGATTCTGGAACTGGTAGGAACCAACTCTGGCAGCCCAGCCTGGGAGCAGGGAGCTGCTCCCTTGGGACTGACTGGGACCCCAGCAGCAGATCTGGGATGTCCCAAAGCCCCCCCAGAACAAGAATCCTGTGTGTGATGATGGCAACAAGAGAAACACAAAGAGGATTTAACAGGATAACATGGTCAAGGAAAAGGGTTAAGGCTGACACCTCTGGAGCAGCATCCCACACACACAGAAGCATTTAAGGGTCAAAGGAAACTGGAACTGAAACTTGTGACCTTTTGAACCACTGGATCAGGCACCTGGAATGGTCTGTCACTGGGCAGCTGCAGCAGACAGAGCAGAGAATGAACAAAGCTTTGAGTGGGAAGGGACCTTAAAGCTCATCCAATGCCACCCCTGGATCCCTGGCAGTGCCCAAGGCCAGGCTGGACAGGGCTTGGAACACCCTGGGATAGTGGAAGGTGTCCCTGCCCATAGCAGGGGGGGTGGAATTAAATGTTTGAAGTTCTTTCCCACCCAAAGCATTCCGTAATTCTATGATTCACCTTCCCCAGACGAGGGATGTGTTGCACAACAAACATAATTCTGAAGGAATTTTAAACAGTGGATTCCAGCTTTTTACATGATTCCATATTTTTTCATGTCCAACACATAAAACGCAAAAATCACTGCTACACGACACAAGTTTGTCATAAATGAAAAATGTCAGTATTGGTTTGTGAGTGTAAAAAACAGGCAACAGGACATACAAAACCCAAGATTTTAAGGTCAACACCACAGTAAATGGCAACAGATCCCGTTACCTGAATCACACTGAGAAGTCTCTCAGGGCAACTTCCACTTTCCTGAGCTCCCTTCCTTCTTCAGACATTTAAACGACAACCTAAAGAGAAGCGAAAAACACCGAGTGAGCTTTTTCTCCAGGAAAACTGCCGGTTTTCCACTGAAAAATTACACTGCCTTATTCCACAACACGCTGCTGCTTCTGCTCCCGGTAATTCCAAAGCAAGACCCGCACATTCCGGCTCTCCCGTTAACTCCAAAGCAATGGAGCCCGCACAATCCGGCTCCCTGCCAGCAGCTGTTCTGCGGCCGGGAGGAACACCGGGCCACGGCCGAAGCAGCGGTCTCAGCCACAGCCCGGTGGTCCCGGCCCCGCTGGGCGCNACAGCTATGGCTGTCCCCTCACAGCCATCCCGGGTCAACAGCCATTGCTGTCCCCTCACAGCCATCCCGTATCTACCATGGCTGTCCCCTCAGAGCTATCCCGTGTCAGCCATGGCTGTCCCCTCAGAGTCATCTGTAAGCACCGGGTCAGCTATTGCTGTCCCCTCACAGCCATCCCGTGACAGCCATGGCTGTCCCCTCACAGCCATCCCGTGACAGCTATGGCTGTCCCCTCAGAGCTATCCCGTGTTAGCCATGGCTGTCCCCTCAGAGCCATCTCTAAGCACCGGGTCAGCTATTGCTGTCCCCTCACAGCCATCCCGTGACAGCCATGGCTGTCCCCTCAGAGTCATCTGTAAGCACCGGGTCAGCTATTGCTGTCCCCTCACAGCCATCCCGTGACAGCCATGGCTGTCCCTTCACAGCCATCCTGTGACAGCCATGGCTGTCCCCTCACAGCCATCCCAGGTCAGCAGCCACGGCTGTCCCCTCACAGCCATCCCTCAGCACCGTGTCAGCCACAACCATTCCCCTCCCAGTTGTGAACAACAGCCATTCTTCAGAACAGTCCCCTGACAGCTGTGGGCCACTGCTGTCCCCTCGGCACCAGCCACAGCCATTGCTCAGCTCCATCCCCTCAGCTGCCAGGGCTGCGGTTCCTCTGCTCTGGAGCCAGGCCTGGAGAGCTGGGAATGCTCAGGCTGGAGAAGAGAAGGGTCAAGGGAGAGCTCAGAGCCCCTCCAGGGCCTGAGAGAGCTCCAGGAAAGTGGAGAGAAGGATTTTGGACAAGGGCTGGAGGGCCAGGAGCCAGGGAATGGCTGCCAGTGGCAGAGGGCAGGGCTGGATGGGATTTGGGGCAGGAATTGTTCCCTGGCAGGGTGGGCAGGCCCTGGCACAGGGTGCCCAGAGCAGCTGGGGCTGCCCCTGGATCCCTGGCAGTGCCCAAGGCCAGGCTGGGCACTGGGACAGTGGGAGGTGTCCCTGCCATGGCAGGGGTGACACTGGAGGGGCTCTGGGGTCCCTTCCCACCCAAGCTATTCCATGGATCGCTGTTTTGGGGGGCTGGGAGTTCAGTTTAGGCTCGCAAGGACCGTGCCCTGCTGCAGGGGAGGCTCTCACAGCTCCTGCCGTGTCCCGCAGCTGCCCTGCGGCAGCCACAGCTGCTGTGACAGTGACAGTGACAGTGTCCCCTGCCCCACTGCGTGACCGTCCGTGTGGACAGAGCCCTCCGTGGGCACCGGGGCTGTCCCCGCTCGCTCGCCGCCGGCCACCGGCAGCACCAAGAGCACGGGCAGTGCTTCCTGAGGAGGCGCCGGCAGCACGGGCTGGGCTCCGGGCTCCTCTGCCCCTCTGGAAATGTCCCAGCGCTCCTGCACAGCAGCGGGGCAGAATTCCCCAGCGAGTGCGGGGCGCAGGGAGCGCTCCCGGTTTGCACGGGGCAGGGAATGGCCGGTCAGGAAACGGGAGATGAGAGGGGACGGTGCTGCTGGGACCGCGCTGTGGCGGTGCTGTCTGCGAGCTGTGTGTGCCAGGGACGCTGCTCCGTGTGTCCCGGGGCCTCCTCGGGGTGTCCCGGGGCCTCCTCGGGGTGTCCCGGAGCCTCCTCGGGATGTCCCGGAGCCGCCTCGGGGTGTCCCGGAATTCCGCAGCCAAGCCCCCGGCCGGCAGTGGGACCGAGTCAGGGAGGTGATTCCTCTGATTCCTCTGGAGGTGATTCCTCTGGAGGTGATTCCTCTGGAGATGATTCCTCTGGAGGTGATGCCTCTGGAGGTGATGCCTCTGGAGGTGATGCCTCTGGAGGTGATGCCTCTGATTCCTGTGGAGGTGATTCCTCTGGAGGTGATTCCTCTGGTTCCTGTGGAGGTGATTGCTCTGGAAGTGACTTCTCTGGAGGTGATTGCTCTGGAGGTGATTGCTCTGGAGGTGATTGCTCTGGAGGTGACTCCTCTGGAGGTGATTGCTCTGGAGGTGACTCCTCTGGAGGTGATTTCTCTGGAGGTGATTTCTCTGGAGGTGATTCCTCTGGAGGTGATTGCTCTGGAAGTGACTCCTCTGGAGGTGATTGCCCTGGAGGTGATTGCCCTGGAGGTGACTCCTCTGGAGGTGATTCCTCTGGAGGTGATTTCTCTGGAGGTGATTGCTCTGGAGGTGATTGCTCTGGAGGTGACTCCTCTGGAGGTGATTCCTCTGGCTGCATTTCCACCCTAACGCAGCCAAAGGGGCATTTGGAAAATCCGTCTGCCGTGGGCTGCAGGGACAAGTGCTGGAACCTGGAGAAACACCAGATGGTGCCATGGCTTTACTTATTTCTTTATGGCTCTGGGAGCTCAGGCTTCCCTCTCCTCTGTGGGCTGTGCCCATCCTCCTTCTTCCCAAGGGAATTCGGCCTTGCTAGGGGAAAAAAGAGTTTTACTTATTGAACGAGACAGAGCCATTAATTAGTCACACGGATTAAAAAGGAGAATGAATTAAAGTCTAGTGATGCCACCAAGATGCCGCCTGAGGGCTGGGGTGGATTATTCCCACTGGCAGGTCTCCAGCCCCTTCCATACTCAAAATACAGAATTGGTGATACTTTTAATGCATTCAGGGAAAAGAAATCCCAGGCTCTTCCAGGATGAGCTGATTTTATCGAGCTGTTAAGTGCATTCAGAGTTTTCCTGTCAGAAATCAGGTGAATTGGTTACACACCTGTTTCTGTGAATCTCTGCACTTTAAGGAAAATCAAGTTCCTGACACTTGATACAGATTTCTTCCTGTTTCTTTCTTTCCCCACATTTACAGTTCCATACTCCTCAAGTGTCTTGGGACCCCAAGAAGTGAGGGAACTGCAGAATTTATTAAGGCTAAGTAACAAACCAACTTTTTCCCCTTCAAATGTGCCAAAAGAAAATTTAACAGATGTCCACAGCTTGTAAAGCCAGGGAAGTGCAGTTCCCTGTCAGGGGAGGGCAGAAGGAAATCCCTGAAAGCCTCCCTGAGACCACCCCAGACGGTTCCAGTGAGCAGGAGATGGACCATGGCCGTGGAGCACACGTGTGTGCAGGGCTGAGGAACCACAGCATCCTGAATTCCCTTCCAAACGGGGCCTGGGGCAGGAGGAGGAACAGAGTCTGGGGTAGGACATGAGCCACAGGGAAGGGTTTTGTGTCCTGAGGGCACGGATATTCCAGTGCCAGGTCGAGAATGGGCTGTTGGGACCAGCCCTCGGTTCCCCCTCTGAGACATTGAGGTGGAATTTTATACACATATATATAAAAAAATAATCAATATATATATATATTAATCAATATATAATAATCAATATATATCAATATATATCAATATATATCAAAATAATCAATATATATATATATTATATATATATATATATCTATGTGTGTCCCCCAGGCATTGCTGCTGGGCTGCTTTAAATGCCCAGGAATCAGCTCACTGAGCTGAAGGTGATCCACAGCCCAGCCCTTTCCTGCTTTCAGTGGGGCAGGCCGGGGGCTGGCAGTGACCCAGGGGTCCCACGGAGTCGTTCTGTGGGCTCATCCTCGATTAAATGTGTCTGTGAGGCTGCAGGAAGCAGCCATGCCAAAGGGACAGGTGGATCCATCCTGCAGGGAAGCAGCCCTGCAGGAGCTGCAGCACATGCATTATCCCTGGATCACATCTCTGGGTCTGGGCTGGAGCAGGATCCTCCAGAGGTGAAACTCTCAGCCCAGCTCTGCCACTGTAAAATCCAAAATCGGCATCAGAGGAGCCTGAACTGAAAGGGACAGGAGAGCAGTTTGGTTCAGTTTTGAGCTGGGAGGGAAGGGCTGGGAGATGCAGCAGCAGCACTGGAATGAGGAATGTTTGTTTGGAAGTGCAGCAGCTCCAACACTTCACCATTTCACATTTCATCTCACCCACGTACCTCAAATCAACTCCCAAGGCTGTTGTTCCCTCTCAGGTGCGAGGTGGCTTTGCAGGAGGGGAGGGAGCAGGGATGGTGAGGCCTGGGATGAAGGACAGGGAGCCGAGGCCCGGCAGGAACTGCCCTCCACAGCCTGTGCTCAGCCCCAGCGGGGCCCTCTCAGTGCAGGGGTGGTTAAAGCCCATCCTGTCCCAGCAGCTCTCAGCTGCTGCCAGTTTGGCGGTGCAGGGTGCAAATTCAGGGTGCCAGTTTGGCTGTGCAGGGATTCAGGCTGCCAGTTTGGCTGTACAGGGTGCACATTCACAGTGCCAGTTTGGCTGTAACAGGGTGCACATTCACAGTGCCAGTTTGGCTGTGCAGGGTGCACATTCAGGGTGCCAGTTTGGCTGTGCAGGGTGCACATTCACAGTGCCAGTTTGGCTGTGCAGGGTGCACATTCAGGGTGCCAGTTTGGCTGTGCAGGACATCCCAGTAACCACCAAGGACAGAAGCTCCAGTTCTGTGTCTTCCCAGGGTTTGTTTTTGTACCTTTAACCCCGACATGTTCACGCTGCTCCTTTTCCCACCTCGCTTCCTCCCCTGCACGTCCCAGGGACAGAACTGCTGACCGCAGCTCTGGGTTACAGAGGGATCACAGGAGCAGTTTTCAATGGAAAACTCACTGGATTCAATGGAATAAAAGTGATTTGGGATTCACCTGAGCCAAGAAGGGCAGCGCAGAGCAGGGCACGAGGCTGCTGCAGCCACCTCAGGGCTCCAGCCTGCTCCCAGCAGGAGCTGTGGCTGCAGCCTGGGGCCAGGCACTCCGGGGCTGCAGCTCTCCTCCTGCTTCCCAAAGGGGCACCCCAGTGCTGCAGGGCCCAAGGGAGAGCTCCAGGAGCTGGGATTTACAGCCCACGGAGCTGTGTCTGCTCAGCCCCCTGAGCTGCTCTCAGTGTCCCCCTGGGACCGCCCTCCTGACAGGAATTCCCTCCAGTGCCAAGAGCTGCACAGATGGATCCACATCTGCAGGGAGATTTACACAAAA